TCCCAAATGGAAAAGAAAAGCAAGTAACTGTGGCATTGTCAGGTCTCCGACATCCCAGGTTGGCTGGATATTGTGAAGACAGTCCCAGACTCCTGCAGGGCTATATGACGTTTTCTATAAACATATGCTCATGTATGACTATGTAGTTGTCTGGAACTTGTTCAACTTCTTAATGTTAGGATTCCAAAACTTTTACTTTAAAAAAAGTTTAAACAAACTGTTCTTAACAGGCAGAAGTCATGATTTATCTGTGACGGCATTTTAATCAGGAGGCATCTAGGAAGCCGGGAGTGGGCACGGAATCATCAAAGCGTGTTCCCCCAAAGAAGACTAAAGCCCTGTGAGTTAGCTCTATCCTAGTGGGGTATCTGGAGGAATACATTGACATCTGATTCTCCTGCTTTCTGCTGTCTTTGCACCCTGCTGGGGATCCATTAGCCTTCTGCTCAACATCTTTCCAGGGGAGCGGAGGAAGAAAAGAAGGGAAAAAAAGACACCATCAAACGTTGAAGTCATTCCACACCAGCCTTAGGGATAAACAGAAACCCTGATGTCACAGTACCATTCTGAGTTTCTGTTTCAAGTAGCAGGCAAACTGCTCCTGAGTGTCACTCACAACTTAATCAAACCTCAGTGTCCCTAGAATGTCAATGATGTAAGTGGGCCTTATAAATCTGTTGGATAAGGACTGAAAGTTTAGTTTGTACTATGAATGCACCCAGAGTTATAGCTCACCCCCCACCAACTTTTGATCTTGGGGTGGGCTTTCTCACAGGTGATGTAAGAGAACTTGATCCAGACAGTCTTTATTGATGGAAGGAAATGTTTTAAAACAAAGTCTTAGAGCTTCTGCGACAGGCAAGGTTTCTGATGTTGGGATTATAGTGACTTTTGGCTTTTTCTTCCTTCCTTCTATTTTTGAAATACATTCTACCTAAGACAATATTAAAATGCTCTCTGAAAAAATGAGGGAAGAAAAAAAATCTTTAAAATATTCTTGACATTGTAGAGACTGGTAGTTGGAAATTGATAAACTGGAAAAAAGGATATAAAATGTCATTCCAGGATTCTGGGTACTGATAAAAGTTCCCCCAGTCATTCATGGCTTGTGTCCTATTAAATAATAATAAGTAATGAGCTATAGAATGACTGGTTGGAGTGCAGCATCATCTCCTCTTTAATAAGCCCTTGAGAAATAGAATGTGAATAGAGAGAACTTCATCAGGAACTTTTTTAAAAGGACCCAACCCAGCTGATTCAGAATCCTGCTAGTAATTTCTCTTTTATATTCTTGTAGCTGAGAGGAAAACAGAGCTGGGGCTAATTTTCTCATTTGTTCCTACAAAAGGAGAACAAATATGGAATATCTTATGTAACTCAAAAATCTCAGAAATCTGTTACAGATCTATCTGGCTCAATCTTTTCCTAGGGATGGAAATTGCCTAGCAACAGTGTACCTAGACAAGCACTTTGATTTGAAAAAAATGACCTCTTCTGCTTTGGGGTTGGGTGAGTAGGGATACTTTGGATTGTTCCCAATTAAAGCACTTTTTCCTCTTTTGCTGTTACTTTGTCCCAGAAGAATGCACATATGGTTGTGACTGGTGACCTTTGAGGACAAGGGGCTGCTGGTACACATGTTACCACCTGCTGGGTCTTCTTGGGATCACTGTTAGGTGGCTGGTCAGGACTTGATATGATCTATATTGGCCCTGGTGTGAATATGGGTGTGGGCATGGGCATGGTGCTGTGTGCCAGTGGCCTTCCCCACTCCCTCTCCCTGCCAATTCCCTCTGGCCTGAAGCAAGAGGAGCTCCTTGTCATCTCCTCCTACAGTGTCACTCTTGTCCCAAAAGGCTGCTAGTCAGCCAGCGGGGTCTCTTGGTGTTTGCTCATTCCTCTGGAACAACAATGTCAACCTGCTGTCTACACAGTCTCCTTAAGTTCTTTCTAATATGCTGCCCAGTCAGTGTCCGCTTGCTCTAGGAAAATTAGACCTTTGAGCTCCAAAGATAACCCTTCCCAACTCTCAGGTCCTACCCACCTCTGCTGCTCTGTCTCCTCCTCATGTCCCCTCCTTCTGTCCTTGGCTCCCCACTCTCTTCTTCTCTCCCCTTCTTCCTCCTCTCTTCTTTTAATATCTTTCCTAACACCCTAAGTGGAGAATGTTCAAGTTTCCTTTTTTTCCCTGATCAGAATTATTTTGATACACATGTCCTCCTTTTTGCTTTCCCTGTTGGAACTTTGCCATTAAACTTAATGATCAGACTTAGCCTGGTTTTATTCTTTACAGTAAAGGAAAGTTCTGGAACATGAGTCCCTCTTTCTTCACCACCCAAAGTTGCATACAGGGTTATTCTCTTTCCAAGCTTAAAGATGACAGCTTGCTGTTCCATCTCCTTGAAGGAGGTATGCCTGCAAGGTAATGGGTGAAGAGCCCAAGGTGTCATGAACAACAAGAAAATTAAATCGCTTTACTATTTTCAAAATATTGATAGGTACACGATAGCCAAATCTGGTGACTGACAGGAAAGCCTGTTTACCTCAGAAAAGACTGTGTAGTGTTAGTCACAACAAGTGGAAGAGAAATGTAAATATTCAAAAATGTCAGTTTTACATAGGCTAAAGGCTCCTGCACTTTAATTGGTTTTCCAAACTTTCCAAATGGTCTTCCTAAAAAAAAAATTGTCTGAACATGGCATTCCTTTGCTTAAAAAGCTGTGATTCCGGTTATAATGCTGTTGAGATACCTTCCAGACTCCTTGGTTTGGCATCAAAGACCCACATTTATTCTGAACCCTACTGCAACATCATCTGTCACCCTGCCAACTTCCTCACTCAGGCACCCTCTGCCCCCCAACCTAGGGCTCACTGACCCTTGTCAACCTCTCCTGCCTTGGCTAATGCTTTCATAGCCTTCCTCTCTGTCTGGAAGTCATTAACCCACACGATCACTTCTATAAAACCTTTGTCCCCTCCCAACCATCCACCCCAGCATTCCATGGCACTCTGTGTGGCTCTTCACAGTTATTCATCCCTCTCTGGGTTATAACTATTTTTCCACTTGTCTCTCTTCCCCATTAGACTGGTTTCTTGGGACACCACAACCCTAGCACCTAGCATTGTGCAGGATGCGTTACAACCGCCCAGTAAATGTTTGTCAAGCAAATGAATGAAGAAGCAGAATCAAGAACAAGGGGATGCTGTGCCGTAGAATTAATGGAATGCAGTGGAATGTATGCAGTCAGATTATAATGTCATTTTAAGTTATTGCCTATAAATATATAAAGCCTTTCATCAGAGTGTGCACTGTTATATGCCTGTCCATAATCTGAAGTATATGGCCTATGATATCTTTGTAGAAAGTGGTTTAGTTCTCATCATGGTTGAATTAGCCCTTAATTCTAGTGTAAAAGGGCCAGTTTATGGCCATGAATTTTTCAGGGCTTTGACTTTTTCAGCAAGAAAAGACATTATGTTTTCTTTATCCAGCATTGCCAGAAAAGAGTCTTCTAATCTTAATACTCAAGTGAATAGATCAGGCTAACACATAATGTTTAGAATTCAAAAAATTATACTGCACATTGCATATAGATAACATTTAATATTTAGAAGACTTTTGAGATCTCCCAGTGCCTAATAGTTACCAATACAAAGATCAAAAGATAATGTGCTATGCAGGATGACGATCTGAGCTGCAGAGACGGGTCCTTGGTAGAGGAGCAGTTAAGTTAATGTCACTTTCTAGTGTGATGTGGGCCAGATGAAAGCATCTCATGCCCATGGCCACCTCTCCGATTTCTTCCTGAATATCTGACTTCCAGGATGTCTGATTTTGCAGGAATTTTCCATTTCCAAAAACAGTTTGAGCTGACAGAGCAGCCAGCTGTATGTACATTTGCTTGTAAGTAAAATGCCCTTTGTTTCATCTCATATAACTTGAAAAAAAAAAACCTGTTCTTTATTAAAATGTGTTCTTTATGTAGTAGGGCTTTAACATCACTATTCACATGCATTTTGGGTGATTGTGAATTCATATTAAAATGCTGGAATTTGGTTTTTAAAAGTGTATTCTCTATTGAGGCTTTTGAGGATAGAGTTTAAATTAAGATCTACTTTTGCTTACCCAGCTGACCAGCATAAATAGCTTTGTTTAAGAGCATTTCTGCTTGGTTACCATTAAGCTAAAAGTCACTTAACCCCAAATCTATGTGAGACATGGAATAATGTCTTTACTTGGGTTATTTTCCAGTTCCTCTAGAGAGCACATTTTAAAAACTGATTTACCTCTTTTTTATGGCCCTTCCTTCTTTTACTTTCTTCAGAAGGAAAAAGGAGAGAGTGGGGGAGCAAGTGAGATAAACAAAATGACATTTTTTTTCACTGAGATAAGAATAAAGACCTCTTATATTGATTGGCTTTTGCATTGCAAGTGCCTCTTCCAAACCCCTGCAAGTTAATGCTCATTTATGTTCCCCATTGATTGAGCTCCTGGCAAACGAGGCATGAGATAAACATGAAGCATTCTTATTATGCTCTTGCCAAGGAGAATCAGTCTATACCATTCTAAATATTTCCTGAGAGAGTGCAAGGAGACACTGCCAAGACCTGAGCTACCTCTGTCTTATAATTTAATTAACAGAACTGTAACCTTAGAAATGTTAAGAAAATTACTCAGAGTACATTGCTTCATCCTCAGAAGCAGATGCCACATTGCAAAGTGATCAGACAAGTCTTGCACTCTCTCATACATCAACCAATATGACAACCCAACAGTTGGTTCTGCTAGCCACAGTCTAAAGTGAAATTTAAGACCCCATCAGGCTGGTGTTTTGTTTTGTTTTGTTTTGTTTTGTTTTGTTTTGTTTTGTTTTGTTTTCAGAAAAGGAGATCAGCACTACAGTCCTGAACATATGACTGTGTATAATGTATATAATGTTCAGACAGTTGTTGTAGAGTAACTATTGCCCACTGATGAGGGCTTACATTTTAAAGTTTATGTGCTTGCTTCGGCAGCACATATACTAAAACTGGAACGATACAGAGAAGATCAGCATGGCCCCTGTGCAAGGATGACATTTGAAAGTTTACAAAGTGCTTTTACATACACAATTTAATCCTACCTCTATGAAGATGAAAGTGCTCCAGTCTAATTCCCATAATGCCTCATGGTCTAATTTTTACAGATAAGGAGACTGAAACCTCAATACAGAATAAGCAGTTAAATCAGGCCTGAGATAGAATTTCTAAGTCAAGAACTCTTCAATCTCTTTGTGTCCTTTCCTACCATACTTCTGGGAGAAGGTGTGATACCATTTTGTTCAGCAGGACTCTATCTACCTCTGTATCTACCTCTGTAGATAGAGTCCAAGAGGCTACCTTGGGCTGATGGATTCTGTTTTGCTGGAAACTGTAGACAGTTTTTTCTCAATCTAACACCTTCAACTGTATAGGCGACTTAAGTCCCCAATTAGTAATGGTAGACTGCACTCAAATTCAACTAACATAATAATAATAACTTTAAATGATACATACTCCATTTGGCAATTGGAAGGAGCTGGAAGAATTTTGAGCATCTTGACCGAAAAGGGCTAGGTTGCCTATGGAGACTCTCAGTAGAAATAGCGAAGTTGGGCCCAGCGAGATGGCCTTGTGGCTAAAGTCTTTGCCTTGGAAGTACCTGGATCCCATATGGGCAGTGGTTCTAATCCCTAATCCCAGCAGCCCCACTTCCCATCCAGCTCCCTGCTTGTGGCCTGGGAAAGCAGTCGAGGACAGCCCAAAGCCTTGGGACCCTGCACCCGTGTGGGAGACTCAGAAGAAGCTCCTGGCTCCTGGCTTCAGATAGGTGCAGCACCAGCCATTCACTTTGGGAGTGAATCGTTGGATGAGAGCTCTTCCTCTCTGTCTCTCCTCCTCTCTATATATCTGACTTTGCAATAAAAATAAATAAGACTTTAAAAAAAGAAATAGCAAAGTTAATGAATCTGCCAGTAGGGTCTTGAAAGGAAATGAGGAGAGCAGTTTAAAAAAGTGTCAAACTTTATTGTCTCAAGCAGACTGCTAGAAATAAGACCCTCAAATTCTCATTGTTCCTGCCACAGTTCACACATAAACTTGTTTTTACCCAGATATGCCAGTGTATTCTGCTTTGGTTTCTTAACAAAAACTTTACTAAATGTTTTCACATCTGTACATAATTTTTATATTATCCTTTGAAACAGAGTCCAGTATTTCATTCAGTTGACTTGTCATAATTTATTGTCACTTTGCTTTTTTTTTCTAGTAGTGATAATCTGGAAATAAGTCAGCCTTGTTCAATATTGTATTATTTAATAAATACAGTGTAGTTAGGAATTCTCAATGAAGCAAAATGGGAGCAGAGAGAAGACACGTTCAAGTGCTGGATGCTAGAAAGGCAGTTACATCCCAGAGTGTGTGCAGAAGGCAACGGCCAAGGGGGAGCTGTTCCTTCCTTTTGATCTGCCTTTTGGAAGGAACTCATGAGAGGTTCAGGACTTGGAGGGGCCAGATGTGGCCAAGAGCAAGTGTATTCGTTTCTTAGAGCTGCTGTAATGGATTACTGCTACCAGATGGCTTATAGCCATTTATTTTTTCACTGTTCTAGAAGCTGAAAATGACAGGGTTAGTTATTTCAAAGACTGAGTGATAATCCACTCCATGCCTCTCTCCCCACTTTGACCAGTTGCCCACAGTCCTCCATGTTCCTTGTCCATAGATGCATCACTGAAGCTTACACCCCCACATGTGACATTATCCTATCTAATTCTGTCTCCACATCAGTCACTGGATTTACTGCCTATTCTACTCCGGTATTACATCCTCTTATCTTGATGACGTCTACAAACACTGTTTCCAAATATGATCTAATTCAACTTGGGTTGGCACTTCAGCCTGTCTTCATAACTGTGGAACTGAGGCATGGGCCTCAAAACAGGGAAAAGTTGTAAGTTGGTAATTGGGGCCTTGAGAATCCACATCACCCAATCAACCAGGTGAGCAGGCTGGGCAACACTAAATCGGGAGGCCAGAGGGCTCAGTTCTGGGAGCACCAGTTGGGAGAACTCATTGCTGAATTAACAGGTTTGTGGAACCACTGGCTGGCTCCCTCGGTACCTTCCTCTGCTCCGGGGACACCAGCAGCCAGATGTCCTCAGAAGCAGAAAAATAGGATTCTTCTCCAGGGAAACAAAAGTGCCTCGGAGAAAAACTGTGCATTTGCCCCCATGTGGTGCTCTCTCAAGCACTCAAAACTTTACAAAGCTTCCAATAGGAAAGAGTAGCAGCAAATTGAAGGATGCAAAAGAAAAGGAAACACAGAAAATACGGAAAAGAAAGACAGCTTCAAAGAAAATTTTTCATACCATCTACAAAGTAGAACAAGTTCAAAATGCCTGAACTTTTCCCACTTCTGTACATTTTTTTACTAGTTGCCAAGTCATGATTTTTCCTCTTCATCTCAGTTCCCTGTAGTTTATGCATCTCTCATCCAATCTGAAATGAGCTTTGAAAAGATGTTAAAGGTAAAAGATTTATGTTTATGCATAAAATCATTAAAAATGCCCGTACCTTCAGGAGTGAGCATTTGGCACAGTAGATAAGCCACTGCTTAGGATGCCTGCATCTGGGTTCATATCCCAGCTCCGCTTCTGAGTTCAGCTTCCTGCTAATGCTCATCCTGGGAGACAGCAGGTGATACCTGAAGTAGTCGGCTCTCATCCACAGCCATAGGGTTGCTCATTCTGGACATTTGCAGAGTGAAACAGCAGATGGAACAGCTCACCCGGTTGTACTGTTTCTCTCTCTCTCTCTCTCTCTCTCTCTCTCTCTCTCTTTCTATATATATATATATATATATATATATATATATATATGCATATATATATATAAAAAACCTTTCAATATATAACCTTTCAATAACAAATAAAATGTCAAAACTAAAATAAAAAATAGCTACAATCACCATCAGGTTTTGTGCATCAACATACCTAAATTACATGTTTAAACTTGGGTTCCATTATATTTCATTATACATGTGCAAATATCCCAAAGTCTGAAACAATCTAAAATCAAAAACCTCCCTGGTTCCAAGTATGTCAGAGAAGGGACACTCAGTCTGCGTTAGTAGGACTCTCCTAACTGCACCACTGCCAGCTGCCTCCACTGAGACCCTCAGCAGCTTCAGCCACTCCTCTCCCGTGGCATTGCACCACTCCCATCCCCCAACCTTCCTAGCTCCAGCCAGGTCTCTTCCTGAAGCAGATTTGATAGCATCACTCATCTGTTTAAAAATCGTTCAGACCCTCTCTCACCATCACTACAGGAAACAATCCAAGCTGGCACAAACCAACCTTCCCATCCCACCTTCTGTCCTTCCTTTATGCTTTGTACTCTTGCCAGGGTTGACACCTGCCTTGTCCCCTATTGCTGTTTCCAGTGCCTTCATTCACAGCTGTCTTGGTAGGGCTACCTCTCCCTCCTCTACCCAAACAGATCCTGTTCTCACTTTAGGACTCTGCTCACATGAAAAGCTCCTAGGAGGTAGATATCCTAGCCTCTGGGATCCAACACAAATTCTTCATTTGCACACTTCTGATGACTTGCATTCGTTGCCTCTGTTGCTCAGAAACAGTGCCCAGCACGACTCAGTGCTGTTGTCCTCCTCCCTCGTGCGGGCTGTAGCAGCAGCATGTCTGTGCAGTTATTGGGCTGCTGGGACACCCCCAGGCTGCCTCAGCTACCCAGCCAGGATCTGAGAGTGACAGAGACAGGAAGGATTGGCTTATCACCTTGCCCCTGGTGAGATGCCTGCTCCCACAGCGACTTGTGCTTTCAGAGTGCTCTGATATAACCTCCTGTTCCCGAGCTCCCCTGCAGCAGGCACAAACAGTTCTGCCTTCATTTCACGGATGAGGAACTAGGGAGGTCACTGCTCAGAATTGCCCGGTAATTCAAGGGAGCCTCAGCATCTGAACCAAGAACACCTGCAAGCAAAGAGCAGGATGGAGGTAACAGACAAGGGAGAAGACTTCTCCAGGTCTTTGATGAGCTGCATTGTCAGCTAGGGTCTAATGCTACAGGTGATCCAAACTACTGAAAATTGAAATGCAAAAGAAATAGATAGTTAAGTATGAACAGAGACCAGCCAGCAAAAAAGAGAAGAGCTATGACAGGCAGGTGGTGAGAGTGTAGTTCCCCTCCAGCCCCTTAGGCTCAGCTCCCTTTTAATGGCTATCACTACTGGACCACTGCCTTATACACTTGCCTGAAGGCAGCTGACTCTACTTCTTAAAAGTCTTTGGCCTTACAAAATAACTTTCTTCTCAGAGCAAATGGACTTGATGATAGATAATATCAGCTTTTGAGCAAAGGAATGTTGAACTGCTTGGGGGGACGTAAACGGTATGCATTAAAAACCCTCCAACATGGGACTTGTCATTATCGTTAACATCATCTCTAACCGTTGGATCTCTACTGTAAATTTGGATAAAAGTAACCAAACTGCCTGTCTCACAAAGGTGTAGTAAGTCTACAAAAACACTTGAGCACTTGCCATATAAAGACCAACTTTCCAAGCATTAATGCCCTTAAACCTCTTAGCATTATCAAGGTTTTTTTAGACTTGTTTATATTTATTGCAAAAGCAGATATACAGAGAGGAGGAGAGACAGAGAGGAAGATCTTCTGTCTGCTGGCTCACTCCACAAGCAGCCGCAGTGGCTGGAGCTGAGCTGATCCGAAGCCAGGAGCCCAGAGTTTGTTCCAGGTCTCCCACATGGGTACAGGGTCCCAAGGCTTTGGGCTGTCCCTTGACTGCTTAGCCAGGCCTCAAGCAAGGAGCTGGATGGGAAGTGGAGCTGCTGGGATTAGAAACGACACACATTTGGGATCCTGGCGTATGCAAAGAGGGGACTTTAGCCACTAGGCTACCGTGTCAGGCCCAACATTATCAAGTTTTAAATATCATGATTATCTGCTCCTTCAGATATAAAAATTGAGGCTACAGTTTCTAGAAGTTATCCAAGAATGTACAATAAATGACAGAATTTAGATTCTTTCTGCCCTCAAGTTAGGGTTCCTA